AGCATTGCAATACCTTCAAGGCTACCTGCAAGCAGCCAGCGTGACCCTACTGTGAATTGCTGCTTCCTGACCCTGTGGGCCCAGGATGGTTTCTTAGGAACCATGTGGACTCCTGAGCACAGTTCTGCTGAAACATTACATGCAGATTTTCAACCTCAATTGAATTTGTCACAAACTCCATCTTCCAGAGGATAGTAAATACTGCTACTATAAGCAAATGAAGTCATTTGTGTTGATCATCAGCTGGTAAATTGTCTGGTTTGTGACATCATGGGACAAGTATTTACAATGCCATGTATGGCCATGGTCTATGTTGAGCATTTGCACGGTTTGGATTATTTCAAATTTTTGGCAGACCTTGACTGTGGATATGGAATGGTTTCTAAGCCCTTTGTTCTGAAGCTCGTATTTCTCTCGTCCTTTGTACTGTTGTCTGTTTCTTTAAGCTTTTATTGGAAATGGGAACAAGTAAAGAATCACTTGTCACCTTGCCAAGCAGTGCACATTTTGTAGTTAAAGTCTGTAATCAGCAATAAAAACCCAAAGTGTGTATCTAAGAGCATCTTCAGGCCAGGATTTTGGTGCTTGATAAAAAGGAATTTCTTTAAGCCTTTCTACTTTCCCCTCCGGACTCCATAAAATTCCCAATTTTTTAATCATTTAAACTCAGTCAGATTGGTGTTTGTTTTTTTTGCTTTTTTGACAGATGCAAAGCAGCTATTCATACAAATTTGGGGCTTGTCTACAAGAGCTCATTAGTCACTGTGAGAGGCTGTCTGGCATCATAGGCTGGGTTAGAGTGAGGCCTGTGGGGCGGTATAGGATTAGAGTGGCCACCTGTGGTTCCAGCTACAGGGGACTGTCCATTTGTTGTACTTAACTTGGAATTTCCTGTGGACACAGGCTAAGCAACTCTTCTTTCTTTCCTTCCTTCCTTCTTTCTTTCCATAGACACTATAGATGGCTTTTAGAAAATGATTTATTTTGCATTTGTTGTTTCTTTTGTATGCTCATGTCGGTTTTCTCCATGCGGCTTCTGTGGATTGAACTCAGATTTTTCAAGTTTGGGAAGTGTTTGGTCATGCTGAACCATACCACCCCGCGTATACGTTTTTTTTTAAGACTTTAATGTTTGTTTCCTATACATGTTTTGTTACATTTTCTGGTAGGTTTCAAACAATTTTAAGTTTTTCTACCATCATATCTTTGTGTGTATGCACCCCTTTGTGAATTAATGTATACCACATGTGTGCAGGTGCCTGATGAGGCCAGAAGAGGCTGTCAGATCTCCAGGAGTTGGAATAGCAGCCTGTGAGCATTGTGGTTGGGTGCTGGGAACCAAACCCAGAACTTCTGAAAGGGCAGCCCCTGCTCCAACCACTGAACCTTCTCTCTAGCTCCCATCTTACGTTTTTTAGGATCCATTGCTGCTGCTGTTACTCTTTAAATAGCAATAGAAACATTAACTTTTCGTATTTAGACACGGACATTTTGTCTTTTGAGACGTGGTCTCTATGTAGCCCTGGCTGTCCTGATCACAGAGGTCCATCTCTCTCTGCCTCCTGAGTATTTTCGGCATAAACTTTTAAAAAGAATTGTAAAAAGACAGGAAGGTAGGAAGAGGACACTGTGTGTGGACCCGAGTCCTGTAATGTGCAGCTGGTTCTGGGTGGGTCATGGAGCGGACTGTACAGCTGTCGCAGTGATGTTACTGGAGACATTGGGTGCCACTCACAACTGATAAACATCCATTTCTCCTTCCTCAGTTGGTCTTTGTAAGCACAGCAAGTGTGTTTTCGGGTTGTTTGTAACGGAGCTGCTTTGCTTGACTCTCTTAGTTATCAGCTACCTTGTCTAGTTTTTTTCGTTTTACATGTTTGCATGCTGTCCTTGGAGCTCCTGTGGAGGTCAGAAGACAGCTTAGGACTGTGCCACCCACTTTTCATGCCAGACCCAGCCACCACACTAATGTCCCAAGTCTGCACAGCAAGTGCTTTTACCCATGGTACCCTGTCCACTTGGTATGCTTACTGCATTTTATTTCTAGCATTGTGTATTCTCTCAGAATCAACTCATGTCCTGCGGCTTGGTTGTAGGTGCCTTGACCCATTGGGCCAATGGTTCTCAACCCCTTTAGTGGGTGGTCACATATCAGATGTCTGCATTTGGTTCATAACAGGAGCAGCAAAGTAATTTTATGGTTAGGGTCCCCACAACATGAGGAACTGTATTAGGCTATCTCATTCACCTGTTTAAATTTGTTTTGTTTTTTGTTTGTTTTTGATAGGATTCTGTTATGCCATTCTCCAATATAGTTTTTAAATCTGCTTTTTAAAGATATTGTAAGGAAATGGTAGGTAGGGCTTAGGGGTGTAGCTCAGTGGCAGAGCACTTACCTAGCCTGCACAAGGCCCTCCCTGGCTTCCATCCTTAGATGGCAGGGGGTGGTGTAAGTCTGCACTCGTTCTCAGCTGTAGCAGGTTACTTGCTTGGCCTCTTGATGTTTGTGCTTTCCTGAGAAGCAGGTGTGATCTCTTCACTGTCAGGCTAAAAGATAGCTAATGCACACAGAGCTCGGGAAGCAGAGAACCTGTGGGAACCAGCACTGAAAGCTGCTGGTCCTTGGGGTGTGTATTGGTGGCGGCCAGGGCCAGGCTATAAGCAGTCCTAGTACTAGCTCTCTAGACCAGGCTGGCCATGAACTCAAAAAATCCGCCTGCCTCTGCCTCCCAAGTGCTGGGTTTAAAGGGGTGTGCTACCACCGCCCAGCACCAAGCGGACTTTTTAAAATAACTAACCTCAAAAGTATTTTTCTTTGGAAATGTTAACTGAGGCATGGTTTCCCACCAAACCTGAAGTTGGCCATTTTCTCTCAGACTGGCTGATCCTGTGATCTGTCTCCACCCCCATTGCTGGAGATGAGAATTCAGGTTTACCCTCAGAGACATCTCCCTGACCCCAGTAGTTTAGCACGTCGCTGTATTTCTCCCCTCTACAGATGATAGTCTTTATACCATTTAATGCTTGTGATGGGTGTCAGCAGACACTGTCATCAGTCAGGGCAATGCCCATAGCACTTTGACTCAGTGCACAGCAACAGCCAGCAGTGCTCCTGCTCCTAAAACCAGGTCACAGCCCGCGAATACCACACTGGGGCATCACATGGAATGTGAATTCCATGCACATTCTTACACATGGTCCTGTTTATTTTCTGAGGAGGTGAAGTTACTCCAGTTCCTGACCTTAACCCCAACCCTGCACTCATGGGGCATTCCTTCACTGGCTTTTGTTGGTTGGTTCTTGTCTTTTTCTCCGACTCTGCTAAACATCAAACCCAGAAACTCTCCCACCAGGCTAACACATGCGCAAATCATTCCACGTGTGAAGTTTTATCAAGTCCTTCTCGTCTCTCCACATTCTGCACACATTTCCACCTTTGCATCTCCCTCACCACTACATTCTTCCCCTTCTTTTTTACATCTATGGGTAGGGGCATGCCTGGTGGCATCTGTGTGGAGGTCAGAAGACAGCTTGTGGACTTGGTAGCAAGCACCTGTGTCAACTGCCATCTTGGGAGCAGTCCGTTAACCTCTGCTGTGAAAATAAGGCTTTAGCCCACATGACTACATCTTCCTGTTTCATCTTGCCGGGCCTGGCACTATATACCCATCATTCCAGGACTCTAGAGAGGTAAGAGAGTCACCAGGTGGTTGGTCCAAGGCCAGCTAGATACATAGCAAGACCCTGCCTCAAAAATAATGGGGTTTCTTTGTTGTTTTTTGGCTTTGTTTTCAAGACAGCATTTCTGTGTGGCCCATTACTGTCCTGGAACTCACTGCATATAATCAGGCTGGCATCAAACTCATAGAAATCCACCTGCCTCTGCCCCCAGAATGCTGGTAAGATTCCACCACCAACCTCCTTACTCACCCAGGCATATCTGTGGTTGACTGTGGCAATAATCAATTAGTTTGCTCTTTCGTGTAACATTACATTTAGGAAATACATGACAATATTCAAATTTACTTGTCAATTGGCATTTGATCTCTTTTCCCCTTTTTCTTTAAGGCTTCAGCTCAGTGAGCTTGAGAAGATACCATGACTAAAAAAAATTTTTTTTCTTTTTTTTGGTGTGTGTGTGTCTTAAAAATTGTAATCTCTAGTGCTCTCTAGCTTTTCAGGAACCATGAAACACATCTGTGGGTCAAAGTGTATGTTTAGTTTTGTGTGACATTAAAATACTAATGGAAACGTGGGAGGGTTAGGCACGAGAGGGCTCAGAGAACACTGCAGCAGGGGCTGGAGAGAATGAGTCCTGCTGGAGGGGCAGGCATGCTGGAGTGCTCTCTTCTCCAACAACATCAACGTTGGACTCCAGTTCAAAGCAGCTCGGATTGCCTGTGGAAGACTGGGACCTGTCATTGAGGAGGAAGGGCTCAGAAGGTTCCACCCAGCCCTCCCTGAGGATCTATAGTGGTTACAGGGGAAGGCCTAGATTTTCTTCAGTGGGGTAGCCATTTTCTTTGGTTGGCAAGGTACCTATATTCAAGTAAGCCATGTTGGTTTGAATCAATCACCTCCACATGCTCATATATTTGAGTAATTAGTCTCCAGCTGGTGAAAATATTTGAGTTTGACTACTAACAGTCTGAGTGCCCTTGTTTTTTAGATAAAATGTCTCATCCAATCATGTTGAATTATTACCATTACATTTTGCATACATTCCACAGCCAAGCATACACGCAGTCTTTAAAAGTGAATTATTCCCTGTCAGCATGGTGGTGCACAACTTTAATCCCATCACTCAGGAGGCAGAAGCAGAGGCAAGCAGATCTCTCTGGGGTGCAGCCAACTAAGGCCATTACACAGAGAAACCCTGTCTCGAATACCACACGTAAATAAAAAAGTGAATTTTAAGCCACTGTCAGCATGGCTCCCCAAGCTGCCGCACCCCTTCCCCCCTATCACCACTTCCTTCTTCAGTTACTGCTCAGCTGGAAAAGAGTTTCTTAGTAGCTGTTTATTGACCAATATTTTAATATAAAGAGATTTTTAGATCTTCAGATTTTTGCCCAGACAGAATCACAAGCATTACAAACATTTTTTTTGGGGGGCGGGGTGATGAACCAGAAGGGGATTGATCTAGAAGTAGTGGTGTTTGAAAATAAATTAACAAAAAAAAAAAAAAAAAAAAAAAGATTTTAGTATTACCATTTATTGTTGACAAAGACTTAGTTTACTTACATTCCATGAGTGAAAAAGTTCCAGCTGTACCAAAATGGAAGCAGTGCTGCGCTCAAGGCTACAATGCTTTCCACCAGGGACAGCCAACCTTTCTGCACCTGTGCGCACCAGCACAGCAACAGGAAACCTGTCGCCTTTCCCTCCACGGAGGTTGGGATTGACTGCATTAGGCACTCCAGGGACACCAGCCTGCAGGCGCCTGGGCCCACAGTAATGTCCTGTAGTGTGGTAGAAAGCTACCTCTTCAACAGACACACCTATTGACAATTTCTGTAATCTTGAAAGGTCCGGGCTTTGGGGCTCAATTTTAAGTCTGCTGCTTGAAAATAAAATAAAAAGGACCAAATCTTTTGATCATCTAAAGTTTAAATTTCCTAAGCTGTCCAATTTATACAAAGGGAAGGGTGTCAAGGATTCTGGTAAGTCTAGAACTGTCTAGCCAAGCCAGAGGCACCGACATATCACCAAACAGCTGTGATCTTTGCCGGTTATCGGTCATCATATGGCATCAGTCTTGGACAAGTTTCTAAACTGTGCTAGATAAGTAGATGCAACTGAGAAACTGAAATGAAAATTACATAGTGTCATATCAACCAAAGGAAATAATGGAACTAAGCGTCACTGTTTAAGAGAGCAGTGGTTACGGCGGCTGGGTACTATGTGTGGCAGGCTGAGCACGCCAAGTCAGGTGGGTGGGGTAGGAAGCACTAGCTTCTCTCTGGTGCTTATAGCTCCGGGGCCACTCGAAGGCTTCCCTGGCGTGGCTGTCCAGGGTTGTCCCAAAGTATCTGAGTGAACCAGCATGAGAATTCGCCATGTTTCTCTGTTATCACAATATAAAAATTGGAGGTGATGGGGCTGGTCTCTCTTGATGGTGGCAGAGCACAGCATTGTCACTTAGCAGCCCAGCACAACCAAGGGCATCACCTGGAGTTTCTTGTCGTCTTTGCTACAGCTTCCACATTCTTATCCACCATGTCTCAGCCCACTGGAGTTATCAGAAATTCCAAATTTTCAAAGCAGTTCTCAGTATTTTCAGTATATATGTTGGGATTTATAATGGTTTGTGGCCAGAAAAGGTTCAGCACCTCCCACACCTTTAAGGAAGAAAAAAATGACAATGGCAGGAATGTTGAAATGAGAGCTAAAGCTAACTAAATGTAGCTTGTAAACATAGGGCCCCATTTGTGGAAACTGATAGTGGAGAAAGGAAGGGAATTTTGCATGTATTCTGGGTCTGAAGAGGAAATGAATGACAGCGGGCTGGGGACACAGCTCAGTGGCAGACCACTTGCCTGACGTGACCAAGGGCTCGGGGTTTAGCCCCCAGCACTGCAATAAAGAAAACTGTCTCAAGGAAAGGGTTATTTCCATAAGCACACAGGCTGGACTTCCTTCAGTGGTCAAGAGTACGGCTGTTCTTCCAGACCTGGGTTCGGTTCCTAGCACCCACATGGCAGCTCAACCACCTGTAACTCCAACACCCTTTTCTGGCCTATGCAGGCAAAATACCAATACACATGAAAATAAATGTTAAGACTAATAAGATGTGACTCTTGGAGAGGGGACTGATGAGGGCAAGATGTATCACCATGCACCATTAAAATCCTGTGAATGTTTTCCTTATTCTCAAGTCTAGATCAAGGCGGGTACTGCCTAGAAAACATGGGGCCCTTCAGGGGTTAAAGCCAGACTGCAGTTCAGGCAAATGCTTCCCCAGAGTCAACCAACAGTGGTGGCACTTTCTGCACATGGTCACTCACTGACAACTGCCTGCCATGGACACCCACACTGACGCGCCCTTCTGCATGCTCACTCACGCTGACACTGGTCCATTTCCTGTTCTTGGCATCTCTGTGCTCTGTTGGTCCAACTCAGACAGCAACTTTAAAATGTTCAGTGCAGCCTAGAAGGGTGGAAGGAAAAGTCAAACCACAAAGAACAGACTAGACCCACGTGGAAAGGGACATCCGCAAACGGGAAACAACTTCTTAAAACATTTTCCTCAATAAAATGTTTGAATCCCCTACCCCCATCCCCAACCAAGACAGGGTTTCTCTGTAGCTCTGATGCTGTGGGATGTTCTGTATGGCAAATGTGTTGCTCTGATTGGTTGGTAAATAAAACACTGATTGGCCAGTAGTCAGGCAGGAGGAAGTATAGGCGGGACAAGGAGGAGAATAAAGCTGGGAAGTGGAAGGCTGAGTCAGAGACACTGCCAGCCGCCGCCATGACAAGCAGCATGTGAAGATGCCGGCAAGCCACGAGCCGCGTGGCAGGGTATAGATTTGTGGAAATGGATTAATTTAAGCTGTAAGAACAGTTAGCAAGAAGCCTGCCACGGCCATACAGTTTGTAACCAATATAAGTCTCTGTGTTTACTTGGTTGGGTCTGAGCGGCTGTGGGATTGGCAGGTGAGAGAGATTTGCCCTGACCGTGGGCCAGGCAGGAAAACTCTAGCTACACTCTGGCTGTCCTGGAACTCCCTCTATAAACCAGTCTGGCTTTGAACTCACAAAGATCTTCCCCCCAAGTGCTGGGATTAAAAGCATGTGCCGCCACCACCCAGCTAAAAAGTTTGAATTTTTAACATAAAGCACCAAACTGCAGCTTTCCTTGGGTACCACATAATTTCCTTTTGACTTTTCACCTGATAGTGACCTACCCTGATCTCAACAAAAAACTCCCGTGTTTCCCTCTAAATTGGAGGCATCAGCTCTATGCAGCATTATGTTCCATTAAGTGACAAACTCATGTGATCGGAATCCTCTTTTAGGGTTTAATGTTATCTGAACAGAGTCCCCAAAGAGGGCTTTCTACAGCTGCCAGAATAGAGACTGAAGTGAAGAGTTTAGACCTGTTCACAGGTTACAGGAGAACCATGTCCCTCATGAGCACTAAACCTGAACAAGGGAATGTGGCAGCTTCTCTCAGCAGCCCTGGGGCCCACATACCATATCATGACAGGACTCCACATCCTTGCCAATGCCGTGGCTGATGAGGGGTGGCTGCGAGGAGCAGTTGATGAGAGACACACACTCGTTCTTGTTGTTCTTAGGGAAGTCTTTGTATTCAACCTAAGGAGGAAAAACACACCCCATGTCATGCCCAGAATCCTCCAGGAGCCTGCTTAGGTTTTAAATGCTGCTTCCTAAGGAAAAGTAACTTCTTTCCCTACAGACCTGTCATACTTCTTACTCCACAGTCCCCTCGGGGGTGTGGTGAGCACATGGCATACCATGTACGTGGAAGTAAAAGGGCAACTGGCTGGAGTTGGTTCTCTTTCCACCAACAATCACACACAAGGTTGATAATAATGCCCCTTTACATGATGAGCCACCTTGTCACACTCCAGACCTGTCCCTGCCACTCTTGCTCCTGCACAGATCCATACTGTACATCCAATCTCTTAGACATATGGTCTCACTTGATCTGGTTTCTGTAGTGCTGGGGACATAACCCAGGGTCTTACATAAACTACAAACGTGATTCTAAGCAGGAAAAATCTAACTTGAAGATGCTGAAATTTTCTGAGACCCAGAGATTCCACACAAAGGCACAGTTACCTGGAATCCCTGGGCTCTGGAAAGGTAGTACAGCTGCTCAGAGGGTCTTGTTCGAGGTCCATGGGGTATGTGGCCTGAAGAGATGTTACTCTTTAAAATGGTCTCGGCTGTGGGCGAGGTGCCCCCGTACAACAACTCGCGAGCTATCATGGCAGTTACCGTGGCCTTGGCAGGATTCGGAGCTGCCCTGGAGAAATCTTTGGTGTGGTGTCCTTGACTAACCCCAACAGCCTGGGCGACCTCTGGCACCATGGGGAGGATTCCAGCTGGCAGCTGCTGATGGCTAAGATAAGGCATCCTGAACTCCTCGTCTTTATTACCTGTAGGGGACAGAGAGGTCACCACAGCCACCCCAACCACCCAAGAAGCTACAGTACTGCTCTCCCCACCATCCCAGCACTTATAAGCTTAGGAAGGCAGTGCTACTGTGCTTTGAACTGTCATACAAAAACCATGCAAACCCAAACCACACTGGATCAAGAGGGTCACACTTACTAGTTCCATTTTCATCCCCAGGGCTAGGTTCAAAAAACGTTACTTTCCTTCCGTCTCCTGGTTTCTTTACTGGGGTCTTAAGAAAGGAAAATGGCAGTGAGCATGGACAAGCACTGGGGTCTGTGTGCACAGTCTCTCATGACCCCCACCACACAAGCTCTCAAGGCATTTACATAGATAGAGAAGATCATGAACGCAGAGCTGGCTCTGTGCTGAAGACCAGAAGATGCTGTCTTGAATGAGAGTGCTCAGCCCAGTGGGCGAGTAGAGTCTGCACTGGTGCTAAAAGGTGTGTGTGCCTTACATTACCTAGAACACCCAGAAACGGTACGTCCATAGAGAAGATGGAGGCATCTAGTGCATAACTGTCAGATACGAGGTGAGGATGATTCCAAGTACTCTACAGGGTTTTTGAATGGGAAGCCTGAAATCCAAATCTGGGCTGTGCAAACTCCACATGGAACCTCTGGGTGCCAGGTACTGACTTTGCAGGCACAGTGGGAGCTGTTTCTAAGTCATGAAAGCAGCTCAGCCCGACTTTCGTCTGCTCCAACAGGACAGTGGCTGGGGTCAGCAACAGTGGCTGATGTACTCCTGCAGTCTTCCTGACTACTCTGCAGAGTGAATTCTCAATACAGAGTAATATTCAACTAAGAATTCACAGGAGCATCTCAATCGGACTGAGAGATTTGGCCTATTATTAACCATGCTATCTTGTCCCAGAAAACCAAAGCCAGATCCATAGGAACAGAAAGACTAGGTCGTACAGATCCCCTTTGAAGCACAGATAACAGTCATACTTGTTCATTCCAATCCCAACTACCCATCAGGAAAGAACAGGACATCCTCCAGAAATGCACATCCAGCCCACAGTGACACTGAACAGACTTAACCAAACCACGCGTGGGACACGGTGAACTGGACAGGAAACTTCCCTCCTGCCAACACTATCAATGGACGATCCCCAGGGGGCAGGCTGCTTACTGCAGGGAAGATGAAGCCTTGCCCCAGGCTTGCCCATGCAGGGAGCTAGGCCACCTGGAAGTGAGAGTCCCAGCAGTCACCTTCTCTTCTGATTTGAGTGCTGGCTTGGCAGGCTGCGCCTGGGGAACTTTGAACCCCAGGATCTCCAGCATGTTCTCAGCAGCATTGCGCTTGGCCACCTTCTTATTGGTACCCGCTCCTTCTGCAGTATGATTCCCAACCTTTACCTGCAGAAAACATCAACAAAGACCTGTGACTGAACCTTCTAAGACACGACAGGAACTGGCTGGTGTGCTGTCAGAAGCCCCTGGGGATGGCTTTGCTAAACTAGATGGTAGAAAATGTTCTGTGTAGTCCGTATTGTTGTGAGGGTCACATTCAAGTTAGAAATGTTTAACATCTATAATAAAGAATATTATATGGAAAATGTGTGCCACAATCTTTTCCACCAATATATTTGTAAATCAGGTGTGGCCGGGTGGTGGTGGCACACGCCTTTAATCCCAGCACTCGGGAGGCAGAGGCAGGTGGATCTCTGTGAGTTCGAGGCCAGCCTGGTCTACAGAGCGAGCTCTAGGACAGGCACCAAAACAACACTGTCTTGAAAAACCAAAAAAAAAAAAAAAGAGACAGGTGTGTGTCTAAACATAATGAAGCCTCCTCCCATACTACTCTGAGGACTGGCTATTGGACAAATTTCAATATACTCCATTAAAGCTGTTCTGACCAAAAGGTATCTGGCTGCAAAAATCAAAATCTGCCAGAACACTGAAAAGGTTAACAGGACTCCTTCCCTGGCCAAGGCAGAGTGGTCTAGACTAGTCACTTCAGGCAAATTGCCAATCCAACTTCCTCTTACAAAATGGATCCTCATTTTCTTGTCTTGGTCTTGGTCTCATTTATGTAGACCAAGCTAGCCTCAAACTCAGAGGTATACCTGCCCCTTGCCCCTGCCTCAAGGGTACAGAGATTAAATGCATGCACCCCCAGGTTGTGAACGGCAACATCACTTTGATGACAGTAGTCAGTGGTAGAGTGTGGACCAATGGACACCAACCCACCTGCATCACAAACTCCCTGCGACGTGGAAGACCTCGCTCTGTAAGGAGCATGTACTCCGGCTCCTTTTCCTTTTTGGCCTGCTGGATCTGTGCCAGTCTGCTAATAGGATTCATCCCCTGGCCATAATCCGGGGCTGTCTGCAGCTGGAGAGCAAACAATACAGAGACAGTGGACTATATAACTCACAGAAAGGAACCAGCCTATCCAGAGTCAGCAGACAACAGAAGACAAGAAACTCAGTGCTGACGTAAGACTTAGAATCAAACCTTTTAAAAACTAAACATGTGCCGGGCGGTGGTGGCGCAAACCTTTAATCCCAGCACTCGGGAGGCAGAGCCAGGTGGATCTCTGTGAGTTCGAGGCCAGCCTGGTCTACAGAGTGAGTTCCAGGAAAGGTGCAAAGCTACACAGAGAAACCCTGTGTGTGTGTGTGTGGGGGGGGGGGGGGCGCGGGGCAGGACACGGGACTGAACATGCTTTATGATCATGCTCAGATGATTTTTGTGTCTTAGAAAACAGCCCTCAGTATTTCATTGTGAGGGGAAGCTCCAAAGTAATGTCTTCACAGTAAATGAAGAGGAACAATAAATAAATTTATATATTTTAATATAAAACATAAATTATAAAACCAGGGAATTCTCCCAGGATCCCCCAAGGACACAAACCCTGTGCATGCCCCAATCCCTTACACAACAGGCAGTGTTCACATGTGCTCTGCCACTCCTTGGACACTGAAAGTGGCTCGCCGGGACTGCAGACATTACCATGAAAAGGGCGGTGGGACCACACTGTTTGGTCAAGAATGACAAAAAGGAGCCTGGAGAGATGGCTCAGAGGTTAAGAGCTCTGGTTGCTCTTCCAGAGGTCCTGGTTCAGTTTCTGGCAACCACATGGTGGCTCATGATCATTTGTAATGAGATCTGGTGCCTTCTTCGGGCAGGCATGGATACATGCAGGCAGAACATTGTCTATATAATAAATAAATCTTTAAAAAAAAAGTGTAAATGGAGTCAGGGCCATCACCAGTGGTTGGCTGAATCTACAAGGGGACCCACTGCCTAGCTTTCTTAATCTCTAAAACCCAGAAACCACTTCAAGCGTTTGTAAGCCCTTAACCTGAAGATGCAGTTCAGTGGTAGAGGACATGGCCCGCAAACCTGAGACCCTTGGTCAATCCCCAGTACTGCAAAAATAAAACAATATTATGAATTGAACCACTTTCAGCTGAAGCCTGGGAGAGGAGGCTCCCTCCCCAAAGCCCTTGTCAGAGGACTGAAGTGACTGATACAGCAAAGAAAGAAAGAGAAGTGTCCAAACATGTTCAAATGTGAGACCACGCGTGAGTAGATGCCCAAGTGCTGCCCTTTCTGCTGCTGAAAAGGGGTCAACGTGGTTTTTTGGTTGTTTTGTTTTGTTTTGTTTTTCGAGACAGGGCTTCTCCGTATGGCTTTGGAGCCTGTCCTTGAACTCACTCTGTAGCCCAGGCTGGCCTCGAACTCACAGAGATCCACCTGCCTCTGCCTCCCGAGTGATGGGATTAAAGGCGTGCGCCACCACCGCCCAGCTGGGGTCAACGTTTTTTATTTATGTTTTTAATAAAGATTTATTTATTTTTATCTTATGTATATGAGTGTTTTGTCTGCATGCATTACCACATGTGCGCCTGGTGTCCATGGAGGTAAGAAGAATCCCCTAGAACTGGAGTTACAGACAGTTGGGAGCCACCATGTGGGTGCCAGAACTCAAGCCAGGTACTCTGCTAGAGCAGCCAGTACTTTTAACTGCTGAGCCATCTCTCCTGCCCCCCGTGGATCATGGTTTTTGTTGTTTTTTTGTTTTTCAAGACAGGGTTTCTCTGTGTAACAGTCCTAGCTGTCCTGGAACTCACAAAGATCTGCCTGCCTCTGCCTCCCAAGTGCTGGGATTAAAGGGGTGCGCCACCCCCCCCCCCAGCAAGTCAATGTTTTATTTTATAGAGGCATTAAGTTTCAATCAAATATCCAAACAATCTTTCAGAACAGTTTCTTGGGCTCTACTACCCAAGACCCAGCCCTGTGTGTACCACTTGCACCTTCAGCCCTGTGTGTACCACTTGCACCTTCAGCCCTGAGCTGGAAGTGGTTCAAGTCAGCAATCCACAGACGGCCACGCAGCCCCACCCATTCCACAGAGGTGACAGCTACAATGCCCACTTTCACAGGAACTGACACTTGGATGTGTTTCTTCAACACACTTAGTGGCCTCATCTCTACTCAACCTGTAGCTCAAACGTGGTACTTGTAAAGCATCCAACTGCCCATGTGGTGCTGGACAGCAGCCAGGCTTCTACCCTAACCACTCCAACACTGCAATCCTGGCACACAGGCTCTCACCTTGCACGTGGGTTGGCTTTTCTTCTTGATTCTGGGCTTCACTCGCTCCACGGTAGGCAGAGGCGGCAGCCTCCTCAGCTGCTCCAGAACGGCCCTGGCTGCGTTCTTCTTGGAGATCTTCTTGCTTTTCCCTTCTCCTTCCCCTATAAACTCCCCGACTGAAACCCTGGTCACAAAGTTCTTCATGTGGGGTGGGCCACTCTCCCGGGCCACCTGTGTCAGAGGGACAGACTGAGTGAAAGCGTGACAGACACTTGTTAAAAGTGGTAAGGCACACTGCCTGGCACACTTGCTTCAAAGAAATGCATGTGGAGGGATCTAGCCCATCTGTGAACACAGGTGCAGGATATCACGGGGAGAGGAGAGGCAGGTTCTACTGACTCTACTTACAGCAGAGCAGAGGCTGGGGGTTCACCCGATTGTCAGTGACCCTACCCCAACAGATGACACTGATAATCCTCCTCACTAACTGCCAGACTCTGGAAATGAGGGTCTCCCCAAAAGGTCCCACATCCCAAAGGAAGAAAGAGACTCCCTGCAAGGATCATATCCATTGTAGAGCCCTAAACCAATGCACAAAGTGGAACCACCCCCATCCTCGACAGGGGTGTGGCACAATGCTGTGAAAAGGACCCTACTAAAAGATGCACGTCCTGAATCTAGTCCCTCAGAATGAGAGCCACTCAACTAGCCTTGTAACATACCAAGCTCTTGAAAAACGAAGGCTGAGGACTGTCACAGATGAAGGCCCTGAGCTGTATGGCAGAACAGCAAGAAACATCCCCAAGAAAAGCGGGGAGACGCAGGAAGAGAGCATATGGGAAATGACAGTCACAGCAGGGCTCAGCGTCCTATATCAACAGGGCAAGGGTTCGAATCCTTCAACCACACGCTGCTCTATCACAGGAACCAGAGTCACATCTACCACACAGTCAAGCAGTTGACTAACACTGAGACGCCTTGTGCTCTGCCAGAGGAAAAGAAAGCATGAGATGTCAACCACCGGTGAAAGGACACCGTCACTGGCCTGCTTCAAGCTGTCCTGTCAAATTTGACATTTTTGAAAACAGAAAGTTGAAAAAATTGTCCAGGAAACAAGGTCTGTCAAAGAAACAGCTGTTTGGGGGAGAGGAGCCCAGAAGTGCCCACCTCCTCAGATCAAATATGAATGATGCTGGCTCACTCTTAACCTCACAGCCCACCTGGGCCCCTCTATACACAAACCTGACTGGAAATTAACTACTATGTTCATTTATTCAACAATACTTTCTGAGAATCCTGCATGGGCCAGGCAATCTGCCACATGCAATAGAAAAGGCAGGACCCACTCAATCTACCAATGAATGTGACTGTGACCTTTCTGACTTGACAGTTACACAGTAGGAACATTAAACTGACACCATCTATAGATGAACCACAAAAGTTCCACATTACTACCCCGTGTGCTGATTTGAATGAAAATATCCACACTTGGTCCCCAGTTGGTGGCACTGAGGAGGTCATGGGGGTACTAAGGAAGTGTACCACTGTGGACAAGACAAGCACTAAGAGCAGAGCCTCACCCTGTTTCCAGTTCACTCTGTCTCACGTTTGCCACTGAAGATATCAGCTCTCAGCATCCTGTTCTTTCAGCCCATCTACCCACTTGCTTCCTCTGGAAGCACGAGCCGAAACCAACTCTTCTTGCCTTGGTTACGGTGTTTTATCACAGCAAGAGGGTACACGCTGACAATTTCTCTTGGGTAGCTGCTTGACATGTCTCTGAAATGCTACCTATTCCTAAAGCAGGTGTGGTCATGGAGAAGGAAGGGAAGTAATCTAATCCCCAGATGCCACCACAATAAAAGGCTCCAAAAAGCTCTGAGACCTGGGCAGGACAGTGACTAGTATGAACAGCTGACAAACTTAACACGAGTCCAGGAGCAGGGATTTGGGGAGCCAGATCCCCTCTCTTAACCTTGGTCACCATCTCTCCTGTATCTAAAGCTGCATTCTCATGCTACACTACCCCCAAAAAAGGGCAGTTTTCTTTTTCCTATAGGGAACACTCAGGGAGAGTGGGACACAGCCCCCACCCCGCAACTAGCCCCTGTCATTATGTGTCTGTCTCCTTCCCACCCCAGCCAGCCACATGGTGCCTCCCACCGAAAGTCGGCATGGAAGTCAGGAGGCTCTGATTTCTAGCGCAGGGAACAAGGACAGTCCTCACAGAGGCTGGTCTGGGAGGCAAGCACAGCTCTCCACCCTACCTTTGCCCCATGGTGGGAAGTGGGTACCACCAGGCCACAGGACAATCACCCCCACCTGACTGTGGGATGAAGGATGAATGTGAGATGTGAGGCAGGAGAAGGTATGCATTTTATGAAATAAAATGAGGCGATCACTCTAAATGCAGAATTAAAGTAAGAGCTTCTTCACAGAGGCAACAACAGATGCCAGAGACTAAGGAGGTGGCTCGGTGGGTAAGGGCCCACCATGCGAGCAGGAAGGAGATCCTGAGTCTGACCCCGCACTCACACAGAAAAGGAGGGTGTGTGTCACTGTGGTCACAGTCATGGGGAGGTGAAGACAGACTCACTGGGGCCAGCCAGCCTAGCTAAAATGGGGACCCAGAGACATCATTAAGAGACCTTGCTTGGGAAAAAGGTGAGCCAATGAGATTGCTTGGTGGATAGAGCACTTGCTGTGCCAAGATGGAGGACTGTGTTTGGTCACGGAACTCAAGGAGGTAAAAACTGCTTCCACAAAGTTGTCCTCTGACCTCCACATGTGTGCTATGCACACTCATTCACACACACAATAATAATTCATTTAAAAAAAAAAAGTTTGAGTTTTGGGGGACTGGTAAAACATCTTAGTGGGTAAAGGTGCTTGCTACCTGTCAGGTCCAAGGAAACAGTGTCCCCAAACTCTGATCGCTAGCCAAAAGCCAGCACTCATCAGGAACTTGTGAAGCCAGTTCCCCTCTACCAGAAGGGACCATTCCCCTTAGCATTGGCAGAAGGGACAAATGTCCACCCGTGGTGCCTGTTAGCATACCAGAGCACATGCTGGCCTCTAGGCTCCCTCAGTATCACAAGTACCTGTATAAAGTTCTCCAGCTCATTGGCCTCTGTCCCCAGATGTTCATTTCTCCTTATGCCCCTGCTATTCCGGCTGTGCCCATCTTATGGCTTCCTCTCTTGGCCCTCCCTCTGTTTCCCTCTCTCCTTCCCTTCCAGGCCAGGCCTAGTCTGCTGGCCATGTCCAGTCTACTTCTTTCTCTGCTCTGGACTCTTCCAGATGCTTCTGGCTGTTCTCTTCCTCGTTGTCTACAATAAAAACCTTCCCCTTGGCTGGGCAGTAGTGATGCACCTTTAGTCTCAGCATTTAGGAGGCAGAGACAGGCAGACCTTGGCTCTGTGGCACACATGTGGAAGTCAGAGGACAACTTTGTGGAAGCGGTTTTCACCTCCTTGCGTTCCATGTGAGTTCAAGGCTAGCCTGGTCTACAGAGCCAAGTTCCAGGACAGCCAGAGCTACACAGAGAAACCCTGTCTCAAACAAACAAAACAAAACAAAGAAAACCACCCCCCAAAAAGCAAACTTTCCACTTAAGCATACCTTAGAGTAGTCATGTCCATTTATATACTACCAAGTCTTACAATCTGAGTTCAATCCCTGGAATCCATGTGACAGGGAAGAACCAATTCCTGCAAGTTGTCATGATCTCCAATGGCATGGACATGTGTATACATATACACTCAATAAATAAATGTTTTAAAAAAAGAAAATCAAAGGAGACAGCTCCTGTGATTGAACACAACACACATGCAAATGCATGCACAAATACCTGCACACACACAAAGATGCACACACACATCTACATACACACAAACCCAAAAATAAGTAAATAAGTAAAAACAACTTTTCCGAGCTGGGTGATATAGTGCAACTGGCAGAGTTGTGGTGGTATTTTACTTGTACTGAAATGTGATTTTAATTGTATGTTAATAAATAAAGTTGCCTGGGGGTCAGAGCTATTAGAGCCATAGCAAGTGCGTGGCGGCGGTGGCGCACGCCTTTAAGGACCTGGAGGGCTGTACATACAGGCAGTGACGAGGCAGTCACGTGTTTGGGTTTACAACCAATGAGAAGGCAGAACAGCTAGACTATATAAAGACATACACACAGGAAGTAGGTCCCCTTTCGGAGAGCTCTCTTGACTGAAGAGGATCGCTGAAGCAGGAAGGGTGAGACTCTTAGCTCTGACCTCTTGGCTTTCTTCTCTGAATCAGCTCTGTGTTTCTTATTTAATAAGACGGTTGGTTACATCTACACAGAGTGCTTGTGAGCATAAGGGCCCTAAGTTCCATCCTCAGCACTGCATTAGGAATGCATGGTGGTGGACTCTGAGATCCCAGTGTTAGGGAGAGGCAGGAGAAAAGGGAGTTCAGGGTATCCTTGGCTACAGAGGAAATCTAAGGCCTGGGCTAGAGACTCTGTCTTCAAAAAACCAAACAACAAACCCTGCCCCCAACAAAACAAATCACTATCACTACCACAACAAAATTAGGGATAGGCAGCTCTCCTAAGAGTTCCAGGACAGGGGGCTGGAGAGATGGCTCAGAGGTTAAGAGCACCGACTGCTCCTCCAGAGGTCCTGAGTTCAAGTCCCAGCAACCACATGGTGGCTCACAACCATCTGTAATGAGATCTGGCGCCTTCTTCTGTATACATAATAAATAAATAAATCTTTAAAAAAAAAAAAAGAGTTCCAGGACAATCAGGGCTGTATAGTGAGACCCTATCTCAAACAACCAAAAAAGAATTTGCCGTGTGAAAAACTGCAAGGGAAACTTTAAAAAATTTTCCTCCTTGAGCTGTTACACTGAGAAACCTTGTCTCACACAAACCAAAACAAATACAAATACAAAATCTTCCTCCTCTTTCCTAGTGTACTGGGACTAGTCTGGAACAGAAATGTACTAAAATATACTTTGTTTTCCATTTCCATTCCATTTTTCATTTCCAACAACCCATTCTTTTTTTTAAAACACCAGATCTCGTGGATCTGATTTAATCCCAGCACTTGGGAGGTAGAGGCAGGTGGATCTCTGAGTTCAAGGTCAGCCTGGTCAGGCTCCAAAGCTACGGCGAGAAGCCCTGTCTCAAAAGCAAACAAACAAACAAGCAAGCAATGGTCCTGCAGGCTGTTCCTCTTGGTGCGTATCCCACAGCAAGTCTGACTAAAGAGAGACAGAGGACCCGAGAGGTGACGTCGCTTTCCAGAGCAACGGAAGGGGCAGGGCACAAGCATGGCACAGTTCAAAGAGACCACAGACACTCCAGGACAAGGACCTGCAGGAGGACAACTGCTACCGCTCTCCTGAGCACCAAGTCTGGGCCATCAGTGTGAAGGGTCACCTTATATGAGCACCAGTCTAATATTTAGGAGAAAGTTGATCCTGACAGGATTTGGTAAAAACAATGTTGTGCATGTAAAATAGGCTTACCTCAAAATTCACAGGCAAATTCCGCTTCAGTGCAATCTCAAACACTTGGCTTATTTCTGATTTATTGAGGTTTTCTTCTTCTGATTCTCTTCCATTCATCTACAGAAGAATAATTGTTATGAGTCAACTTTGAAGAGCCAGGCATGGTGGTGCACACCTTTAATCCCAGCACTCAGGAGGCAGAGGCAGGCAGATCCCTGAGTTCAAGGCCAGCCTGGTCTACAGAGCAAGTTCCAAGACAGCCAGAGCTACACAGCCTCAAAAAAATAAATAAATAAGTAAAAGAAACAAAATCGTCAGCTTTCGGTCAAGCCACCTACAGTCCCTGAACCTCAGCACTACAGAGTTAACAATGACCAGAGATGGAGGCCACTGTAATAAGCCACAGCAGCCCCTGAGGTGCAAGGATCTGGTGGTGCTGTGGAAGACACCAGGGCTGCTGGCGAGAGGAAGCATAGCTAAGTTCTCGAGCCAAAGTCAGTGGGAGGGAAATCCTCTGCGGCAGGTGAGCAGGCCGACTACCGAGGTCCTGGAAACCAAGAAGGCAGTGGGACAGAATGCCGCATGGCCCTGGCTCACGCAGTGCAGCAGGGCAACAGCCAAGGCACAAACCAATGAAGTCTCCTTAACCAGGGTAGAGTCCACCTTGGTATCAAGGTTCACCAGTCCTCCTGCCCCTTAGGAGGGATCAGAGGGGCCCAGGCCCCCTCTCTTTGAGCTGGTAACACGGGTTCTACAGAGTTCGGCAAAGACTCCGGAGGGGCTAGTCCAACACATCACCTGCAGACCTGGCCCTGGCCAGAGCTGCTAATTTCACACTGCTGCTTTCTTTTGCTAAATTCATCAACTTCTGGTTCCAGGATTAGCCCTAACAGGAGCCCACTGGTTGAACTTGCTAACAGGTCATACATAGCAGAACCAGCCAGGCTTTGCTAGTGAAAACACTGACTGCTCTTCCAAAGATCCTGAGTTCAATTCCCAGCAACCACATGGTGGCTCACAACCATCTACAATTCAATCTGGTGCGCTCTTCTGGCCTATAGGCAGAACACTGTATACATAATAAATAAAAAAAATCTTAAAAACAGTTTCCATTTCCTATCTTAGAGAATGCTCATTCTTTTTTAATTTATTTTTATTTTATGTGCACTCATATTTTGCCTGTATATATGTCAGTGAGGATGTTGGATTTGCAGGAACTGAAGTTACAGATAGCTGTGCTGGGAACTGAACCTGGGTCCTCTGGAAGAGCAGTCAGTGCTCTTACCCACTGAGCCATCTCTCCAGCCCACGGACACTCATTCTTCAGAAGTAGTCACCAAACTGTGAGGAAGTATAAACAGTCCCTGCAGAGGGCCACTAAACAGGAACTAAGGTCCCCTGGCACAAGTCAAAGTAAGCTTCCTCTGCCAGAGCTATGCAGAGCAGACAAGCTGCCATACCTACCCCTGCCCAAGCTCCAGGGTGAGCAAAAACATGCACCATGTTCTGGGACAGTGTGCCATCAAAAGATAGCAAGCGTTTCTCCAGAAATTCTGTAACTTAGCACTGCCCATCAGTGGGTTCTAGCTGGGTGTGGTGGCTCACAGCTTTGATTTTAGCACTCAGGAGGCAGTGGCAGGAAGAGTTCTGTGAGTTTGAGGCCAGCCTGGTCTACACTGCTAGTTCTGGCCAGCCAGAGCTACACAGTGAGAGTGAAGAAGAGGGGGGGGGGGGGGAGCGAGCGCACACCAATCAGCAGCTCCAACAACATGGGTCTCAGCACTGAGAAACAGTCCCCAGCCTTCCCAGCATACTCTCTCCACATGCAGGTCACTCACTCACACTGTGCCAGATGAAAGGAAAGGAAAAGAAAGGCTGCCCAGCTTTCCTGCTGAGACATTTAGGAGACACTCTCCAGGCCTCAGAATCTTGATGGCTATCACCCAGTAACTACCGACTGCTGTGGGTGTGTCGCAGGCCTGTGTCCACCTACCTCCAGCCTCTCTGGTGGAGGCTCACTCTGCAGAGTCCTCAGTGCTCTGGCAGTGGCGTCATGTTTCACAGCTTGTCTCGTCGTCGTCTTCCCTTTCCCATTAAACTGCTGTCCTCCCACAGAAAGCTCCACTTGGTAGAGTAACGGCGGCACTGGAAACGGGTAAAAGTACCTACAAATACAGGATGGGGGTCTCAGGCTCTGGTTGGTAAGTCACCCATGCCTTCTTCAGCAAATCCCACGTTTCCTGTACTGTGGTCTCATCACTGTGTCTGTAGCTAGAAACACCCTCTGTGGTGTTCGAATCTTAGATGGTCTTTTAATAAAAAACCCAGAGCCAGACAGATATCAAGGTGAAAGCTGAAAGAGAAGCAGAACAGCCAGCCACTACTTCTGACCTCTATGAAATCCTCAGTCTAAAGAGAGCAAGTTCCTGTTTCCTCACGCCTTATGTATCTTTCTCTGCCCTGCCAAATTACTTCCTGGGATTAAAGGCATGTGTGCTTCCCAAGAAAAGGCATGTGATCTCAAGTGCTGGGATTAAAGGTGTATGCCACCACTGCCTGACCTCTGTGTCTAATCTAGTGGCCAGCTCTGTCCTCTGATCCTCAGGCAAGTTTATTAGGCTACACAATATATCACCACACTTCTGTTCAGCACAATGGAGGCTGCTGAACAGAACAAAGTTTACACTGAACTGCGAGCTCAGAGCTGACAAATGGTATGCATTTGACTCCCATGCTAGGCTATACTGACAGGGTCCAGAATGGAAAGGGTGTTGGCTCAGACAAACTTCGCTCACTTTACTCTCTCAAGTCTTCAACTTGCACTTGCATGCCTCCCAAGGAACCTGGGAATTTTAAGAGTGAAGCCTTTTAGAAGGGACCCTCACTTCTGAAATCTAGCAGCACCAAGTCCAAGTCTGGTTCCTTCAACTTCAAGTTCATATTCTTGACTGAGGCTTTGCCCTTTCCCACCTCCTCAGAGGAAGGGAGGAAATAAAATATCTATTTTCATCATCGATCTATTCACTAACATCTCACTCCTGACAGCAAAGCTTTTGTAACACATGACAGATCTCATGGAGCCCAGGCTAGCCTGGCTGCTGTGCAGCAGACATGTCTCTGCTTCCACCTCTTGAGCACTGGAATTACAGGCATTCTGCAACTACACTAGGTTTTGGCACTTCTCAGTGTTAGTTAATCTTAGTATTTTAACAAAGTACAAAAAAGTCAAAAAGCAGCAGGCAGAGGGCCTCACGTGCTCAGAAGCATGTGCTGCAGGGTCCCACGAAGCAAAGGAACCAATGCGGCCAGACGGTGAGTGTGAGTGCAGCTGCTCCTGAGGAACTTGCTCAGGCCCTCTGCAAAAGCAGCTTAAACAGAGGTTGCAAGACAGCACCAAAGGCACACCTTAACCCCAGTGATGGGGCTCAGTCAGACCAAATCATGACTCAGGTCACAATTTACAGACATCACTCTAGGTAAAAGTCCAGCTATTTCCACCCCAAGCACATACCTGGGGGGGTAGGCCCCTCCGCGCATGCCGTAGCTGTAGGTGGACTGCATCCGAGAGTGGGGGTCCACGGGCTTATACATTGGTTTTCCTTCCAGTTTCACGCCTAGTGCATTGAGCACTGCAGTGGTAGGAGCTATGATTTCTGCAACATAAAAATCATACAAAGAACAGTTTCAGGCCCACTGTTCAGACACTGATGAAGCATGGCTGTAAATCAGTCTCAAAGAATGTACTGCAAAGAGCCAAGTACTAACTAGATCTACCCCATGGGTGTCCATCAGGAAACCCAAGAATCCGCATAGTGAACAGAACCACAGGAAAAACCTAGGAAGGGAAAGGCAAGTAGCTTGTTTGGAGAAGGCAAGTAAGGACCAGAAAACATCCAGATGTCTCTGACTTGGTATTACAGTGGGGCTGAACTGTGGTCACAGATGATAGGAAATCCAGTTTCATTTTCATATACATCAAGAGGAAGCTTCTACCTCAAAATCATCAACATGAGAAAATACAGACTAGGGCTAGACACGGGCCTCAGCAGTAAGAGCACTGGCGGTCCAATCATAAGACCAGTTCAGGTCCCTGCACCAACGTAAGAAGCCTGGCTCCCATACTCGCCTGTAACCCAGCTCTGACAGGAGGATTGATGGTTTCCAACCTAGCTGAGGACATGAGTTTTAGGGACAGGTCCCATCTCTAAGGAACAGACAGAAAGTGACATGAGAAATCACCTGATGTTATCTCCTGAACTCCACACACAGCACACATATCTGTGTGCATGTGCATGTGTGCAGGCACTCTCACAGAAACAAACAAAGCACACACTAGCCATCTTTCAATTTGCTCTCCTAGGTCATCCAATTCCTAAATCTTCACAAACCACTACAGCAGCCTGAAAAGATTACTGTCTCTGTACAACTCACATTTTACAACAACCCTTTGAGAGCGGGAGTGGGCGAGACCCATGGCTCAGCCATCAAAAGCACTAGCTGCCCTTCCAGAGGACCCAGGGTTAATCCTTTGTACCCACAAGGCGACTCACAACTCTAACTCCAGTTCCAAAGGATCTAACACCCTCTGCTGGCCTCTAGAACCACCAGGCAACAGTGGTACACAGGTAAAACACCCATACACACAAATCATTCATTAAAAATAAGAAGGCATCCCTTTTGGACCTTGGCTATGACACAGTAAGTTAAGGCACATGCTGTCAAGCCTGAGAGCTAAATACAACCCTACAGACTCACACGGTAAATGAGAAACAATGCAGGGAAGTTGTCCCTACTCCACACAGCACTTCATACAAGTACCCACACATATACACAATAAAGAAATCAACAAATCTTTACAACAAGCAAATACTTTCACTAGGCCTAGTGATATGGGCCTATAATCTCAGCACGTGAGAGGCGAAGGCAGAAGGATTGTAAATCTGAGACGAGCCTGAGCTGTCTATCTCAAAAACAATGAACAACTCTAGCAATAGCAAGCCTGATCAATGTCCATGAAAACCTACGTCTGGGGGGCTGGAAAGACCACCTAGCCCAGCACCACATGGTGGCTTACAACCATCTGTAACTCCAGTTCCAAGGGATCTGACACCCTCTTCTGGCCTCCAAAAGCACCAAGTGCACAAGTAGTGCACAGACGTACATTCAGGCAAACAATACACATAAAAATAAATAATCTTGAAAAAAAGAAGCTGGGTGGTGGCGCACACCTTTAATCCCAGCACTTGAGAGACAGGCCGGCGGATCTCTGTGAGTTTGAAGGCAGCCTGTTCTATAGCGTGAGTTCTAGGACAGCCAGGGTTGGTACAGAGAAACCCTGTCTCGAAGGGGGGTAAAAAAAAGAGAGGGAGAAAGAAAAGAAAATTTACCTTTAAATGCCTCTAAGATAATACACAGAGAAAAATAAAAATGATTTTTATTTTATATTAAAATTGGCTGAACTAAATTTAGACTATGAATCAAATTCATAAGAATATCAATGGTCTTGCACAATCAGAAGGTCAAATGAATTACTGTTCTTCCTCATAACAGAATTCCGTGTGCGTGTGTGTGTGTGTGTGTGTGTGTGTGTGTGTGTGTGTGTGTGTGTCAGACAGAAGACATAATTGCATTTTAGAACCACCTCAACTACTGGGCAGTGTTGGCACACACCTTTTATCCCAGCACTTGAGAGGCAGAGGCAGGCTCATCTATGAGTTCGAGGTCTACAGAACAAGGGACCCTCAATCACTTTGAGACTCAGAGAATCTATCTCGAGTAGAGAAAGACCACCACAGAGAAATCAAAGGCAAAAAGAAAGGTTGGCCTGAGCTGGTCAGAATTCACTCCTGATTACCAAGGACTGGGAACTGTAAGTAGAGGAGCGCCGCCCCCACCCACCCCCCCCCCCCACCCACCCCCCGGTCACAGCCTCCAGAAAGTGCCTCCCAAATACATCCCATGGTTCCTAATTTGCTTTGGGTCCTTGTTTGAAGCACTATGATCTACTAGCTTGCATGGAGGCAGTATTTTCTCACCACTGTTAATCATCAGGAGACAGACAATCAACACTGCTGATTGACAGATGATAAGCAATACTGCCATACTGACTTGATACAACCCTACTAAAACCTATGCTCTTGACGAGCTACATAGCCTTACCCAAGGAAAAAGGTATTTCCATCATGTTTTTCCTCAACCTTAAAAACTGTATGGGGACAGCACCTCCCCATGACTCCTCTGCAGACCACCCAGTCAAGGACGGCAGACTGGGACAGTGAGGAGGTATCTGCCACCCAGTGTAGGACCTATGCTTAGGAAGCCATCATGCCATACTGGGCAGCCCCAAGACACACTTTGGAAAATAGACTATCCTGGCCCAGACAGACTGCCAGGTTCCTCCCTTCGTGTGCTTAGAGGAAATTCCTTTCTTCCCCCAGCTGCAGCAGCTGTGTGCTACAGTTTGAAAAACTAGTTCCATCAGCTTCCCAGAGCTTATCTCCAAGTGTCAGCTGGACTGAAAAGAAGCACAAACGTGCCTCCAGGGCTTAAGCGAGCAGCTGACGGCTGCTCCACTTGGACCTTAGACACTTTTAATGGGTATGGTTTAAAAGGGCTGCTCATCACCTTCAAAAGGTAGTTCTTCACTTTTCCTTGTTTTGAGACAATCTCACTATATTGTCCAAGCACCAACACCAAGAGACACTTTGAATACAATTATGCTTGTTTGTAAAGACTGATTTTTATCTTATGTGTATGGGTGTTTTGCCTGCATGCATACCACATGTGTGCCTGGTGCCCAAGGAGGTGTTTGTGACTGAGTTACAAACAGTGGAAAGCGGGGAACTGAACTCGTGTCCTCTGGAAGAACAGTCGTCACTGCTCTTTCCCACTGAGCCATCGCTCTTGCTTCTAATTAGGCTTTTATCAGATACCAAATGGGACAATTCGAACAAGGAGCTGAGCTGGCTCAGAAGAAGAGCACATGCTGCTTCAGTTCTCAGCTCTCACATCAGGCAGCTCACAGCTAGCTGCCTTAACTCCATGTATGCCCTCTGACCTCCTCATGGTGCACAGAAACTCCTACAGGTTCACACATACACACATAAAAATATTCCACCTGTAACAATTGTTTCACATCAGAGACTTTTATTCTCCAAGGCTGAAAAAGATAACAAAGACAACTGAGAAAGCCCAACCTTCCTTAGAGACAACGGCCCACCGTGCACCATCAGCCCCCTCACCCAGACTACTGACAAGCGGCCGGCCTCACTGACTTCCCACATGCAAACAAGCAGGAAAAGAGCCTGAGGAAGGCTGCAGGCAGTAAGAGGTCCCAAAGCCTGGAACACTCATGGGAAATCATAGCACTTGGGGACTGCCCACTCCAAATCCCACACAATCTCATGTGACCTGGAGTTTTAAAAGACACACATTCCAAGGAAAGCATGTATTTTCTTGATCCATCCTGCAAGGGTAAAAGTAGAGGCAATGCTCAGTGAGCCAGGCATGGTAGTGCACATTTGGGAGGCAAAGAGAGGCAGGCCGATTGATGAGTTCAAAACCAGCCTGGTCCAGGAAGGACAGCCAGAGCTACACAGAGAAACCTTGCCTCGAAAAACCAAAATATATAAAAATAAAGACGATTATCTAAAATCTGTGAGTGTGTATCCCTTATTCTTAGCAGTTTGAAAATCTGTGGATGCCTAGAGAAGACACAACCAGAATCATTGCTGAACCACCTGTAGCTGAGTAACCTAGGAAAGTGATTATTATGATGTCTAGAGACGTCATTTACTGAAACAGCCCTTTCCCAGCACACGTGAAGTCCTGGGTTCCATCCCCAGCACTGTAAACTAAGAACAACAAAGACAGCACACAGCCGGCCAGGACAAAACTGGAACCTGACAAAGCACTGCTGCTGGAGTCGGCCAAGAAGTCCACACGCAGTCCCCTGGAGCAGACTGCCATGTCAAATCTCAGCTAAGGTACATCACTATCTCCCAGCCAGGACCGCCATTCTCCTCAAACCTGGCTTCTCATTCCTGGAACATTCCTAAAGACTGCTGTTCTCAATTGTGATCTACTTCGGACAATGATCTAGTGAAATACCATGGCCCTGGTGGGAGTCTCACGAAGTCAATACATGGAAATGGGTAGAGCACACATGCAGCTGACGATCGGATAGCTCAGGGAGCCTGACATCTGCGAAGCTGCCCTCTAACCTCCACATGCAGGGTATGGCATAGGTGTCTGCACACACAAAAGACACATAATAAATAACTTAGAGTGGTAAAACTACCCTTAGGCAGGCATAGTGATGTATGCGTTTAATCTCAGCACATGGGAGGCAAAGGCAGGCATAGCTTTGTAAGTTTGAGACCAGCCTGGTCTGCACAGTGAGTTCCAGTGTAGCCAGGACTACATAAATGAGACCCTGTCTCAAAAAGAGAAAACAAACAAAATAAAACACAATTGTAATCCCAGCATTCAGGAGCCTGAGTCAGGAGAACTACTTTGAATTCAAGGACAACCTAAGTTACACAGAGTTGAAGCCAACCTGGGCTATATGGTAAGACATTTCCAAGCAAGCAAGCAAAGGACACATTAAAATAAAAAGCATGGTGGAAAGGTATGGTGACGAACACCTTCCATC